AATTCACTATAACAAGAGTATTTTTATTATATTTGTTCAAAAATTCGTTATATCAAGAGTTCGCTATATCAAGAGTTGACTATATATATATTTTATCATTTTGTAATTTGGTTTTCAATGCAGTATTTAGTATAATAATAAAATGGTTACATATTTTCCATAATATATGTCGATATCAATATATTTTTATTGAAACTGGCTCAGAACATTTATCATTATTAATTCAGTCATTGAAAGACATTTTTGAACATGCTATATTAGTATTCAATCAAAACCAATTTGGGCTTAATATTAAGTTGAATATTTATTATAAAAGTAGGTACATAGGTTTGATAATTTGCTTGCTAAAAACATCGAAAATGAACTTGCAAAAGCATTCTTATAATATTTATTCTTGTTAAAAAAACATCATTCACTATAAATCTTTCCTTAACACATAAGCTTCCACCTGTACAACCCACTTGTTTTTCATTTTTTGCCTTTACTTTTTCCTCCCCTTGAAGCATACAGACGGAATCTAATAATACTTCTTTCTTTTCAGATTTTCCTATGATCTAGGTTTGCTGTTCTCCATTCAGGATCAAAAGGAGTGACATAAGAGACAACCATCTGTTTCAGAATTTCCATCACTTCATTGTTCAAAAACTTAAAGCAATCCATTTTAAATAAAAACATACATATTATTTTCTTGTTAAGTCTTTTGGTCTGGCTGGCTTCAGATTTGGTATGTGAACGAGTGACAGGTACTTTCTGCCCTTGATCTTCTAATTTTTCTGGCATGTTTGGAGGGTCAATGAACCACTCACCAGTGTATCCGAGTTGCCAATAAATGCTTAAATACTCTCCACTATAATACTCAAGATCTTCACCTGTAAAAACTTGTTCAGGACGCATCTTAGCTGACAAGGGATACTTCTTATCTGCCCTTGCATAGGGACTGTGGTAATTTTTCACTTAGATAAGAATAAAGGAGTACTGCCCACTCACAAGAAATATTGGGATCATCAGATCAGCTGCCTGCTGATTGAGTTTGAAGATAATCGCAATGCGGCGGTGATAATATCCTTCGAGTTCTTCTTTATTTGGTATGAGACAAAATGAGTGAAGGCCACATGGCCATCCAGAATGTACTTGAGCATTTGTTCATTATCTGGGTAGAATAGCTGAACAAAGTCTCTAAGAATGATGGGGAAACTAAACCACTTTTTCTTAAGGTGTCTAACTGTAAGAATCAGAATGAGTCATGCCACAAATTCCTCACGTGGACCAGGCTCCACAATACCCTTCTTTAATGAATCGTTGAACGTCTTTAGAACTTTGACCAAGTTGCCTTTGTCCTCAATCAAGAAGAATCCCACTTCTGCCAACAACGGCTCTGAGGAGTAACCAACCAACAGATTTTCCCTGTCTTCTGAGATTGCGTAGCATATTGCCGCATGTGATGCGATAAGGTCAGATGCCAGTGTTAGTTGTGATGAGATCTCTAGACAGGCCAGCAGAGATACAATGGCGATGTTTGCGCGGGTAATATCAGCACGTGTCAGATCATCAACTTCCCCAAGGAGCTTGATTTTGAAATGTTCTATCAAATTTCTGAGGTGTCTGGGATTTTTCTTGTTACTCTCTAAGTAACTATAGCCTAACGGTCTTCTTAATCTTATCAGCGCAAACATTTCTCTATCTTCTGGGTCAGTAATATCAAGTGGGATTTCACTTTGCTGGAATACATCCATAGTGAAGAGCTTGATAAAGAGCGTAAAAAGAATCATACCAGTTTCTTGGTCCACATTTGCATTGTCGTTTCTGGTAGATGGATCAGTTGCAGTGGGTGGTGTAAAAAATTTGCTACTTTACTAAGCGTATCCAGAAACAATACGAAGAATCCCATCCATTTGCCCTGCCTGCTGATCTGTCACAGAGCTCTTCAAAAGAGTCTGAATGGATTAATGGCATCTTTCTGAGAAGGAAGAAGAGACTGAGCCTCATTGATGCATATAATCATCTTAACATTTTCTTGCCTATATGACTGGCAAGGAAGATTTTGAGACATAATGTCCAACACGTCGTTTTCAGTTACTTGTTTTCAATTCTCTATATTTTTCAGAACCTCAGTCCAGAAGGAAGGATCCCAAAGCCCCATCTGTAAGCCTCACATCTGCCCGGCGAGTAACTTTTGTTCTTTGTGTAAAATAAATTCATTAACTGAAAAAGAATGTAAGCAAGTCGCCATTCTTCTTCCTGCCGAAGTTGTACAAAAAAGGTTTTTCCAAAAAGTTTGCAATGATCTCTATTCGTGAAGGATATCCTGTACTTGCTGCAGGACGTAAGCAAAGGTAAAGTGTAGGAATATCCTTAGCGACCTCTTTAATAAGATGAGATTTGCTGTATCCTGAGGCTTGGAACAATGTCTAGTATGGAACATATTTAGTTTGATGTTCCGTCCAATATCAGTGCTTGGCATGAAGCTCCCGCTTGAAGTCTCCAATGACATTCTCAGCATCAATGTAACTTAAATTAAAAGCTAGCTCCACTTCATTTTACTGAAATGGTGAAATATCAGCTTCGATTTTGTTCTGTTCGCCTTCTGCTGAAACCGCCACAATAGGTTAGAAAAGAAAAAATGTAAAGGAACGCAAAAGGAGACAGTTAGTCAATGTTGCAAACAGCATACCAAGGTTACTCAAATGAATGGACTAAAACAGATATACAGTGATATACTATGCTCTATTCTATACTCCTCTCAACGCGCGCGTTGTAATACATTTCAACTATTCTCCTTCCGCTTCTTTTCATTAACCCATAATGTCTCTTGTCTCCTCCAGTTCACCTTCCAAACGAGTTTATGTATAACCTAGCTCTGCTACGACTCTACTCTGTCCCAATTAATAACGCCTAACCTTTTGCAATATAGCACAAAACCAGTAATAGTATTCAAACTCTTCTTCCCGTTGCTTCTTTATTCTTATAATAACGTGTGTTACTTACTTTGTTTACCAAGTGTCTCGAGAAATTATGCGTAGCAATTTGCAGTTGTTTCAGGATTTTCTTGATGGTATTTATAAAAGAACTTTTTATATTCATTGTATGCTGCTGTTGCCTTCTCAATAGTTGTGTTGGGACAGTTTTACCCATATTTAACAAAGAAACTTCCTAGGTCTATCAGGTCTATTTTCATAGCGTCGCTTATGTTTAGATATTTGAGATGGTTAGTGAATAGGGTTTTACGTGAGAGAGTCACGATCTGCGCTGCCTAACTCAGCTCTGTTTATACATCTTACTTATACAAAACATGTGATACTTCTCTGTATTGAAGTGCTGAATCAACTATAGTTACCACTTGGCGAAATAGATCGGGAACCCTCCATGCTTTTGTCAGAGACAAAGGGTAAATGAAGACAAAGTAAAAATCTCTTTATACGCTTCTTTGCATATCATGTTATGGAATAATGTATTATTGTATTCTGCTACTATGTAATGCAATTCTGCTTTCAGAAGTGAAGCAATTGTTTTTTACGTGCGTATTATATGATAATGGATAACTGAATTTGAATTGTAAAAAATGGTTACAACAATCGATTCTCTTTATTACTCTCTAAAATCTTTCCATAAATTTTCAACGTCATCTGCATATTTTCGTTCGCTGGGCAGCTTGCTGGATTTAGAATTGATTTTGATTTTTTTTTCAATTCGACTGCTTGAATTGCTATTTCAAGCTTTTAATTTATATTGCAGAGTTGAATGTATGTTTGATAATGGAGCAAATGACCAATGACAAGTCCTATCAACAGCTCACAAATGAATTCAATAGTGGAAAAAATCATTTTTGATTACCGGTTATTTGCTTTTTATAAAATGACTTGTTTCGGTATTGATGTTGGAAAGATTTGTAGTTTTTTTTTAAAGCAAAATTGAATCCGTTTTTATAATAAATTCTCAGTTTCATCAAAATTGCGAATTCATTATTATTATTTAACGTATATTTAATATTTTGCGTTAACGTAATCGGCAAATTTAGGAGGTATCAGTATAATTTTGGTTAGTCTCCTGCTGCCAAAAGCGGGGCCATTCTTCCTATAACTTAAGTATAAGTCTAAGTATAAATATTAAATCATTACCCATACTAAATGACGTGCATATTCAAGACACTAGATCATGCGTTAACAAATAAAACTGTAAATTGCGAATAAAAAAAATTTAACATAACTGAACGGTTATAAAAAAAACAACATTTACAACTGATTATTCTACGTAATGTAAAACTATTCGGTAGGCTACACCCTCACCTCTAGTTAAACATAATTACGATTGCTTATTTTGATTTGCTGATCAAAAAAGTCATCATTTCCTAAAGTTTGGTCCAGCTGCCCTTCTAATGATTTATTCGCTTTTATTACTTTCCATACTTATCATTATTTCTAACATGATAAAGGTTGCTACTCATAAATTGTGTCAGAGTTGTAGAACTTGGAGCAAATTTATTGTCATTCTTACTGAACAGCCTATAAAAAATCATGGAATTATTAGCAATTATAAAGAAACAGATATTTGCTTTATGTTTTCAGCTTCCGTTTTTTTCTTTGTTTACTATGTGCTAGTGTTAATGTTCATTTATTTGTTATGATTTTCCTTTTCTCTTGATAAATTTCATAAGTAATTCTTTCTTTGTTTAGGTACTCCTGGAGAGTTTGGGTATCATTGATTTTAAAAACATAAGATGCAATTTTTTCTCCCTGTTTTTTTTTAATATACTTCTAATGGTGCTGTAATTCTTTGGTTCCATGGTGGATTTAATGTAAATGAGTTTCATATTAATATTTTTTATATAGAGATAGTTCTATATTAATCCTGTTATAGTTTATATTCATCACATTCTAGTATAATAAAGGGAACATTAAAATTAACAAGTCCATAAGTTATGAATGAGCATCATTATTACTTCTTAAAACGTCATTAGTCACACTGGTCAAATTTACAGTCACATCATAATCAGCCTCTCATTTATAGAATGTTCACTTTGTCTGATTTTGTTGTAGCATGCTCCAATTGAACAGTAATTCATCTAATTTGATCTTTTTATTTTCTGAAATATAATAATAATTTGCTTTTATATATTATCAGTCTTATTTTAAAATTAGTTTAAGACATAGATAAATCATTAATATTTTTATAATATTATGATTAATATATATAATAATTAAATATGATAAATATTAAAAGAATTTTAAGAAGATTTGGTAATTGAAATAAAGTGATTAATTCTCATATTATATTGATATTAAAACTCAATTGATTTTAGCTATATAATAATACTATTAATAGTATTAGAATAATATATATAAGTTATATGGAAAATTTGTTATGAAAATCAAGTTCTGAGAATTTTTTAACAATTATTGCATTTTTGTTTTTGATATTATTAGATTAAAATATAATAAGGTCTTAATTTTAGTCAAAAAAAATTTTAAAGTCTAATTACTTAAATTTTTTATATGCAATTTGTTTTATAATATGATCATTTTGTAATAAAAAGGGTAGAAATTACCAATAAATATTTTTTTGAATTAATATTAAACCTAAATTTATTTTATTAAAAACTAATATTTAACTTATAAAGTAAAAAAAAAATTTTTTAGTAAAATCTACTCTTTCTATTGCAAAATGCTTATATTTAATTTAAATATGAAAATTTATTGATTTTTTATCTTTTACTTAGATTAAGCAAAGTTAGTTTATATAAAATAAAATACTAATTGTAAATAAATTGAAATTTTTTTAAGAGATTAATAATAGATAAAAATATATGAATATTTTGAAGAAAAAGATATTTATATAATTTTAATTCTTATTTTATATATTGTATTAATCATTAAAAAATTTGTGATTATATTTTAGCCTTTATATCATATCATAGATATAAAAGGAAGATAAATTATAAAATTATTAGCAAAATTTTGCCAAAATAAATAATTTTAATAATTAGTTCTTAGAATAAAACTATTATAATTTAAATGTTTTACAAAAATTATTTATAAAATAAGTAGCATAAAATAATCTAAAATATTATATTTGTTAATCATATTTTGTGAATAATATCTCTTTTAATAATAATAATAAAAAATATTTTAGTGAATTATTCATATAAAGTTATAGAAGCAAAATGAATCCAAAAAAATGATTGTATTCTATAAAATTTATTATAATCAATCTATACATTATTTATTTTTAAATATTACATAATGTATAATAAAATTCTATTTGATTTAAGTTGAATTTTAAGTAAAATTTATGAAAGAAAAAGATTTTTTAATTTTACAGCTGATCAGTAATAAATATTTTTCATTGTATATAATACTATTTCATTATGAAAATATTTTTTAATTGTAAATAGAAAGATTTTTATATATTTTATTAGAATTTATATAATTTTAATAAGTTGATCAATCTGTTAATCAACATTAATTATACTTAAATATTGGATTTTAAGAATATATAAATGCAATAAAGCCAGAGATTGATAGAAACTTAGCCTTTATTAATAGATTTGTAATAGATACTGTCTTACGTCTTCAAATTCAAAGGCTCTTATATAAGTAAAGAAGTAAACCAGTAATTAGTAGATTAGATATTCTGTAAAAAGGGCTATAATAATAATAACTGTAATGCATAACCATAGCATCATTCAATTAAATTGTCATTAGGGGTTTGGAATTTAAGTTTAATCATAATCTATCTGGAAGATCAATTTGAAAATATCAAAAATTAGCTTGTGTAATTGTTCGATCGACATGTACTACAATCTTAACCAAATCCGATGCAATTTTTTTTTCCCCTTGTCCCCCCGCAAAAAAAAATTTTTTTTTTTACATTCGTTTTCTCTTTTTCCAAATATATTTCTTTGAAAATGAAAATGCGAAAACCGTTTTAAAAAAAAGGGCAGTATATTCAAATTTTGTTATTCATCACTTTATTACTGATTTCGTTTTACATTAATCATTTCTATAACTTTTTCCGTATCTTCTTTGTCCCATTGCAATATCCGGAAATGCAACTCCTTGATTATAATCAAAAATATCGTTAAAAAAGGAGGAAAAAAAAAAGGTTATTACCTGTAATTCATAACCATAATAAGAAGTTTTTCTCTCAAAAAAAGAATATAATAAAACTCGCCTATTACCATGAAAACCAAGACAACCATGACCACAACCATGACCACAACCAAAGCCAAAACCACAACTACCACGACTGTAGCCAAGGGAAAAAATTTTGAAAACGAAATCTTAAAAGTACTTGAGGAGAACGGAATGGAATTTTATGGAGTAAAGTGAGTAGTATTCACTGAGTACTTGTTGAATCGTCATGTATCTGAAGTTACGCTGTCACTAGGAGTAAACCGGAGAATTGAAAGCTCTTCGTGGCCACAATTTTTTAATTGTGAACGTTCTTCTCCGTTTCCGAAAGGCTAATAGTAGGATGTAGTTCCGGAACCTGTGA